TTCTTTATCAAGTATATAAAAATCACACCGGTAACTTTTGGCAAAGTTCTCGTAGGAAATCATATAAACGTCGCTTAAACAAACACACATTAGCGCTCACGCAGTGGCAACTGATCGAACTCTGTTATAGTAGTATTTTACGCAAAACAAAATTAAACTCACGACAAATCTCGGTCCGATACACATCTGGTGTATCGTCATCTTTCTTTCGGTACGCGTCAAAAATCTATAAAAAAAAAAAAAAAAAAAAATCAAGAAAAAAACATGAAAATTGTAAATCCATAGATCAGTGATTGAGTGATCGATCTGATGATTGAGTGATCATCGATCGAAATGAACGGATGTGTGTTTCGTCAGATTTTTTTCATCACTCGGCTAATCTCATTCTCGTAAATGCAAAAATCTTGTGGTATATCATCGTTATCCGTGGAAACAGGAGGTGAGGGACATATATGTTTGTGTTTCGTTCTTTCACACGCACACACACACACATCGCACACTCGTCCGCGCGCGCTTCTCTCTCTTAAGAATTAGAATCACTAAAATAAGGAATCTAATCACAATCAATTCTTCTATATCAACTGTTCCGAAAGTTTTTTTACTCTAAAGCCCTACATCTGCGTCTCTGAAGATTTTATTATTATTTAGCGTTTTAGAGAAGGATGTGTGTGTATAAGATTCGCGAGGCGCTCATCAATTACATCATCATTCATTCATTCCTCAAATCCAGTCGTGACTCTCTCGTCCAGACGCGCGTACGAACAGACATCTACAACCAATATACATGCAGGCCGCACTTGGTTACTAGTGTTTACGTGTGCTTTTAAATATAAATATATCGGCTGTATGTATTTTTTTTTTTTTGTTTTTTTTTTTCAATATCTCATTCTAATTCTTTTTTTTTTCTTGTGTTTTAAGGCTAATTAGTTATAAGGTGGAGATTGTCGGAGAGACGAAGCAGTCTCGGAGTTTCGAAAAATATTTTGTCATCGCAACTGCGCTATTGTTGAGGTATATAGCGTATACACGGAAAAATTATATATCGTATGTACGGAAACCCTTTTGTTTGCGGTTTCTCTCAAATTTTCGCACGAGGGCAGAAAACAAAAAAACAAAAAACTGAAACAGAGAATAAACGAAGAATTTTTCTTGTAAGAAAAAATTAGAATTACACAAAGCGCTTCTCTTGTATGTATTTCCGCGATTTGAATAAATATTCGATAGAAAATCTAATCGATTCTGTCAACAATAAAAAAAAAAAAAAAAGAAAAAAAACAGAAAGATAAGAGGAAAACAAAACGGCACGCGTAACTTGGCACTTGTACAGCTAATTGCGTCTCTCAGGTTCTAAAAACTCGACAAAGACGATCAAGCAAGCACGTTCTTCCGCAAGCGGGCGGGTTTACCTCGTCTCTCCCCACATCTATGGATATATATTAATAGTAGTTTTTTTTTTTTTTTTTTTTGTTGTAACGGTAGCACTCCTAGTACTAATATAGTATCAGCGGTAATTCATAGTAATAATGATAGAGCTATATATAGTAACGTAGCAGAGTAGCACGTGTGTTTATGTGTGTAACGCCTCTTTAGCAAATTTTTCATCGAAGATAAAAAAAAAACGATCGAACAAAAATCCACATACTTAATTTTTTTTCTCGCGTATACATCCGTATTTTTTTTTTTTTTCCCGAAGAGAATCGATTTTTCCGTGATAAATCGATTCTCGTGCGTTTTTGCCAACCAATCCTATCCCGTTAAAAATTTTATCACGTTCGACCGGATCTACCGGCGTGCGGTCGCGAGAACAACAAATGCTCGTAAGCGAGTGTTGCTCGCGCGCGCACAGGCTTACACTTAAAAATAAAAATCGAACGATTTTGCCGATCATGTTTTTTTTTTTTTTTTTCATTTTTTATTTTACCGCTTCCAAAAAAATTCTACGCTCTCCGCCGTTTCTCTCGCGTTTCAAATTCTTTTACACTTTTCTTTCTTACAGAACAGCCGACGACAAACAGAGAGTCCGTGTATGTTTTCGTTCCACCGTGTCACGCGCTACATTCGCCAGAATCTCACGGGCGAAAATATAATTATAACGATGACGACATAGAAAATAAATTTTTTTTTCCTTCTTCCGATTTCAACCAATGTAGCGCGCGCACGGAGCGTGTATGGTATACATGTGTGTGTGTATATATAATATATGTGCGTATGTGCGTGCGCATATAAAAACGTTTATACATCGATATTGTATATATGCAATTTATACGATACACACACGTACACACACATACGAGATGATGGGTGAAGGGAGAGGGGAGAATTGGGAGTTTCTAGCTACTTAAAAATCTACATTTTTTGCGACAGGTAAACGCTACAAAAATCTTTACGCGGAACAATCGCACAAACATGTCGAAAAAAAAAGAAAAAAAAAAAAGTAAGCAGCAAATTGTGATCTTAGCTTTGTCGTTAAACGGAAGTTGTTGTTCACTCGAGTCTGTCTTACATCGGACAAACTCAAAGGCAAAAACTCTGACTTGAGTAGATTCAGTTTGGAATCCACTTGGCGACGGTGTCGATGAATCATCCAGAGGCAAGTAATCAAGCGCAGACAATAACGGCCGCGTTAATCGCAATCCGATCCTCTTCTCGCGTGCGGACAGAAGGTTTAGGAAAACAGAGATTTTTCTGCAGTACGCTACCCCGACAGTTCTTGGTCCTATTCTTATCTAAAGCGATAAAGTAAAATTACTTCTAAAACATTTTTTCATACATTCATTATTTCATCTAGATATATTTTCACTCTTGTTTCCAACTATATTTTGTTTTGTTTTGTTTTTTTTGTTTTTTTTTGCTAACATGATATCTTACTCTTGATACGATTTAACATTCAAAACGTGAGTTCCTCCGTGTTCTCAGCATCGGAAGAAAGCGCTTGACGCAACGCTTCCATACAAGACTTTGGGATAAGCGTTCCGACGATCTTCAGTTCTTCAGCTGTCACACAAGCGAGAATTTAAATTAATAAATTTCAATTTTATTGTATAATATTGATCCCCCATTTATTCAAGAAGCTGAACCTTACCCGTTCGCAGTCGTACAACTTGCATCTTGGAGTTATGTCCGGATCGTGCGGCGAGTATATTTTCCACGCGGCTCCAAACACTCAGCACCGAACCGGATAATACATTGTAGGAACGTCTTCTCAGACCCACCTCGCAATCAATACCGATAGTCGCGTTTTTGCAGTTGCCGCTCCAGTAAGCGTGCGAACACGTGTCAACGGAAGCTTCGTACTGCTGCGACCAGTGCGGCTGCGCTTCGTCCGCGCTTACCTTCTTATATTTCTTCTCTAATTCGCCTAAGGTCTCTTGTCTCAGCTGTAGTCCCGTATTGGGCCTGAGAAACACAAATAATTAACTTTCAAACGTCGAAGATCGTATTTGTAATATTTGTTGATTTAAATATTTCTGTCCACACCTGTACACCATATAAAGCTGATCCTTCTTACTCTCGGTTTTCTTCTTACCGCTATCGACTATCACCGCTAGGATGGCGGTTTGTTTGCCGTTGCGGATCTGATGGCTCAAGTAGAAACCTTCTTTCGAGCCAGTCAGTTCCGAACATTTCTCCGTTGCCTCGGCCCAACTCATGCCACGCTCAACGTGAACCACGTGCAACTCAGTCGGGGCCTTGCCCGTCGCGTGCTTTCGCAGAAATCGATAAAGTCGCACTCTGCGAACGTTCTCGCCCGATGCACCGAGATCGAGAATACCCATGTCGAAACGGCCGGTTTTCTTAGCCTGCGCGATGATCGCGTTAAGCGTGTCGGTGAAGTACTTGAACAAACGATTCTGCAAATCTACCGGCATGCCGAGAATACGATTTAGGAACTTCGACATGTTATTGTAGTCCTTGTCGAGCGTGAGCACGCCAGGCGTGTTCTCGCTGTTGCAAATCAAACCAACGCCCACAAGCGCGTCCGCCACATCCTTGAAGAAATCGCCGTGATAATCCTGAGGCGGTGGCACCAACGGCGGTTCGTATCTAAAATTGATCGAATAGAATCGAACGTTTTAAGGTCCCGCGTCGATCGATATAAAATTTTTTTATCTCATCGATATAAAAATGTTTAAACGCTGTTACAAACCCCATGATAGTCTTCATTGTAGCTTCCAACGCAGCGCGACCGTACTTGTTGTCGATATTGAACTGCGACAGATCTCGAGTCTCCGTCGCGCGTCGATCACCGTGCGTCAACGCGCCCAGACTCTCCAGACGTTTCGCGACGATCGAAGCGAACCGCCTCTCACCGGCCAGATCCGATATAAGAAATATATATTCCGGCGCGTTCACCTGATTCGATCGATGCGTGCGTCCAAATTGCTGTATCGCTCTGTCCGCGCTCCATGGCAACTCGAGCGTGATATGCACACGTCGCATTTGATTCCTTGCTCGTCTATCGCTCTGTAACGATATACCGCTGCTAGCCGCCTCGGAGATGATAGCTACGGTCTTCTCGCCGTCCATAAACCTGGCGAACGAATGATGATTTGAACAAATTATTAATTTAGCGGAAACAACGCGATTAAGTCTCTCTGTGAGACTTCATCAGAGTTGTTTTTGTTCTATTACCTCTGTTTCTCCGTTAAATTAAGAGTTTCTAAAGGAACATCGACCTCTGAACGGGACTCGTACTGTATTGCACCGTCTTCTGTTTGCACTACGCGACCCTTTCTACCTGTCATCTCAGCGACATTCTCCGGACCGCCGAGCTCGTCGATCAATTGATCCAAGGTATTTGGCGGCAACCGTTCGCCAAGATCCTCTATTTGCGACAACAATTCCTCTTTCATGCTGCAAGCTCTTTCGATAGCGTCCCTGGGCGGTGCCTGATTACGGGCCGCACCGCCGCTCGCGGCGCCTATAGATCCGCTATTAGCTGTATCACCATTGCGCTTATTTCTGTTACCGGACTGTTTGTGTTCCAGCATCGACTGAATCTTATCCTGCGTGCTCAAACGCTTCTTCGCGGGTTTTTTTGGTTTCTTGCCTTTTTTCTTTCGCCTGTCCCAGGGATCTATAAAAAAAAAAAAAAATAAGAAAATTTTTCGAATTTTCAATAAAAAAGAATTTACTGCACTATATAAGATTTGACGAATTTTTGTTATTCACCAGCGTCAGAATCACTGTCACTGAAGAACGGATTGAAATCCGAACTGGCATTGCTCTCTTCGTCGGAGTGTTGATCGTCTTCACTTTCGCTGCCGCTGATCTTGTATTCAGATCCCGAACTGTGAGCCCCGTTCTTGTCCTCCTCCGAGAACACCTCCTCTTCCGACGACCATGCGCGCACTTTTTTCGACGCACGTTGCGCCGCCTGACGCACCGGTTTTCTCTTACTGCCTCCAGCAGAACCGCCAGCACCGTCCATATCATCGTCGCCGTCCAAGTTGAACTTTGGCGGTTCTAAACCAAGAAGACGCTGAATACGATTACGATCCGGGGCCGGAAAGTGTTTTTCCACCAATGTTTGCAAAACGCCTCTGCAAGTATCAAAATTTGTCAACATTGAAAACTGAACATCACAGACGGGATATCGTTAAAAATTCATGCCGTGCAATTCTTCTTTTTTTTTTTTTACTGACTTTGCGGTTGAAACGAAATCGGTGAGTTCGCCGTCGTCACGTTCCAACTGTTCCAAAGTACGCGCCTCGCCGGTCGACTGCAAACCGATCACCACGCATTTGCCGCATTTAACCGCCTCGCGAGCCACGGACACCGCGTGCTTCACCTTCGCGGCGATACAGAGATATTTGAAGAAACGCTGATGCGACGACCAGAATTGTCCCCACATGGTTTTTTTCATTCGATTCTCCGCGTCTATCAATTCGGCCGCTTCTTGGAACTTTTGCATCGCTTCGACCCACTATAATAAACCACAAAAAAATCGATCGAGATCACGCGCGAGATTACTTTTTTTTTTTTTTTTTTTTTTAGCAATTAAACGCAAATTGTTTCTTCGCGCAGAGACTTACCAGACGCACCGAGTGATCGTAGATCTTCGTAAAGTCCTTCGAAAGAGGTACTTCCTCGATCTTGAAGGCAACACCATGAAAACTCAACTGCCGAGCGATATACATACCGCGCAACTTCATGTCCATAGCCACGATTTCCATTGCACCTACACCGCGTTTTTCCACGGCGGTGATAAAATCATTGAACTCTGGGAAAGTCGTTCCCTCGCCCCACATACCCAGTCGCACCATGTAAGCCATGTTGCGAGGTTCGGAAGCACCGGTTGCACTGGCATACACAACTCTAGATTTCGGAAGTTTGTTCTGCAGTTCCAGAACAGTTAAACCTAAACAAAATTCGTTCGAATATGGTATAACCTAGGAAAGCTATTTTACCGCAGAGAAATCTCGGAACATTTCGCAATAATAATAATAATAATAATAATAATAATAATAATAAAAAAACTGTCTTCCAACCTGTTTTTGTAGGTTTTGAACTGCCAGTGGGACACAAATTTTTGGCTCGATGGCACTCGTCAAAAATGATTAAACCATCGAAGTCTTCCCCGCACCACTGCAGCAACTGTTTCAATCGGCTTTTGTATTTTCCGCCGCTTTGCGACGATTCGCCAATCAGTGCCGAATACGTGCTAAAAATTACTCCCTTCTTCACATTGCCGTTCACAGCTGATGAGATCTTAGCGTACTTAAACTTATTCAACGCGTGTACCTGCAACAAACAAAATTTGTGCGATTTTAAATATTTTATTATCGTCGTAACTTAAAAATTATTGTATTTTTTATTTTCCACCACATTTATGTTATTCAATCTTATTACAAAATTTCGTACTTCGATTTTGGATGCACCTATGTCTTTCAGATCACGCTCGGCGTCGTATTTCAAGTCGTTCGACACCGACACCCAGATGGCACGTTTTCGTCCTTTTAGATAATTCTCGAATATTATACCAGCTATAGTTCTGCCTTTGCCGACACCCGCGCCGTCGCCGATCAGAAATCCGGCGCGCGTACCGTCGGGCAGCAAGTGCTCGTGTTGTTGAGAGGCATACGTAATGGATTCGAGCTGGAGCGCGGACAACGCGCCAGATCGTATTGTTTCCTCCGGTATGGACACCTTGTACCAGACATCCGTTGGCTCGACGCTCGACAATGATGCCGTTTCAACAACCGGATCAGGATGCTTCCGTCCGAGCTTGACTGTTTAATTAATCGCATGAGATTTTTTACTGAACAATGTGTAAGAGAAAAACAAATTTAAGATTAGTTGCATTCTATATCGTACGTTTGGTTGGCATGTAATCGGCGTAAGTCTCGGCAACACCCATTTCATCGTCGTCGACCTCCTCCTCTTCTTGCATATTCGATTGCATTAGTTTCGTCGGGTCATTCGCATTCATCCACATTTGCGACACATTTTTTCCTAAAAACGCAATCAAAAAATTTACAAACAGAGAAAAAGAAGCTTTTCTCTCAAGTTAACGATGTTTTCTCGAGAAGAGAAATAGAGAAAACATCCTTAAAATATTCAAATACCTGACAGACCTGCCCAGTTAGGATGAAGACCGCTTTGATTGAGCAGCTGCATAAAAGGATTAACTCCCATGTTCATTCCGGGCATACCCATAAAGCTTCCCATCAGAGCATTCATATCCATACCCGAAAGACCTACTCCACGAAGCATTTTTATCCAATTATTAACATTATATGATTAATCTTTATAATAATTAATTATTTAACGTGCGAAGTAACGAAATTAAACAAGGATGAAACGAAATACAAACGATCAGTGGAATTTCATGGCAAGTCAGTGTGACGTATGTACACGAATAACATTCATACATACTTTTCTTTTTGTTTTCCGCCAAACATTCTTCAAATACATAATTTTTATATAAATTTGTAATAAAATAAAATAAAGATAAAACTTACTTGATTGAAGAAAAGCAGCGGGATTGAATCCGGCGAGGGAAGCTAATCCAGGCGGGAAACCACCGTATCCACCAGGTGGCATCTGCTGATTCAGTTGATTCAATTGATTCGCATTGACAAAACCACCTGGCGGAGGACCTTGAGAACCTCCGACGCGCACCATTTCGTAGCCCGGCGCCGCGGACTTTGTTACTAATCCTCCAGGAATTTTGTTGCCAAATTTTTGATTCAATACTGAAGAATTCGAGATTTTTTTTTGTAATAAAAACAAATATTTAACAAATAATACCAAAAAAAAAAGTCTATACTGTCATGTGTATGTTTTTTCATTTAATTTACCACTTAATGCTCCTTGCATTTTGTCCGGAGGATTTTCTAGCAAATCTGCAGGCTTTTCATCCTTGATGCTCCCAATTCCGGCGGCAGTTGCGAGATCTTTGCCTCCTCCTGGTGATTTTTTTAAAAATTACTAACTGGTTAACTTATATTTTTTAAAACATCACAAACAGTTCTTCAAAAAAAAGAAATAGTTGAAGAGTTTTTTTTACAGGCAATTTTTTTAAAAAGAAACTACATGAAATATATATATATAGATATATATGTTCTTTTCTTACCAGGAACTTCGATTTTATCGGGATCTTCCTCATCGTCAAAGTCACTCCCGCTAGTGTCATCACTTACTCCATCATCATATTTTTTTGTTGCCTATAAAAATATACAAAAATTCAACAGATTCCGCACAAAACGTAAAATAAAATATAGAACGGACAAAGGGAACATCTACGTGAAACAACATATACTCTGTCAGAAGTCTGTCGACAATGCGACGTAACAAAAAAAAAAAAAACCAACATATCAGTCATGAATAATTTAAACTATGCGTAAGGACATTAATATGTGTGTTACATGTATATTAATATATTATGTAAACACAGCAAATTCAAGATGTAACCAAGTGTTTCCAGAAACACTCGTCTGAAACAATGAGATTTTTTTTTTATTCACTCGACCAGGGAACAGGACAAAAATTCACATGAAGAGCACATGAATTTCTGCTCGTTGTTCAACAAACGCGAGAAAGAGCAAGAAAAAAAAAAAAAAAAGGGGCGCGTCTGACGCGCGTCTTGCTTGTGATAGAACCTCTAGGTTAGTCTCTATTTTCTTTTCTTAACGCCACCGGGGGAGACAGACGGACACGGCGAGATTACGCGTTACTTCTTGGGTAGAAAGTTGCGTGCCCTGGACATAAAAGTGCATCGCCGTCTCTCATACTCTCCCTCTCCCTCTTTCTTTCTTTCTTTCTTTCTCTGTCTCTCTCTATCTCTCAACCTACCTCCGACTTTGGGAATAAGAACCTACCATGACAAACCAGGTGTTGCAAGACCCCGCGCGTACGTATCGTGACGATGCAGTGTAAGCGATAGGACGACGGGGACGGCGATGATGATTCCCGAGACGGCACAGAGCGCGGATATTATGTGCCAATAACTCTACCCTACTGACACACACGAGATGCGCCGCGACCTGTGACGAGCGGCGGATCTGAAGCGTTTTTTTTTTTTTTTTCAGACCCGGTTAATGAATTAAGGAGAGCGCGTGTCGCATCAAGCGCACATCGTCCGGAACGTTTGTGCGAGGTCGCGCGTGAGAGATCGTCCGGGGGACGGTTCGGTGAGATTTGCGAAATCTCGAACGCAATGCGCTTTGACTAAGTGCATTCGAACCGGGGCCCCATTTCACGCGGTCGTCATCGCGGCGCGCGGTTCACGTCTCGGAAAGCGCGTTCGTTCGACTGGACGGCTGCCGCCATATTGCGACCGACCCCGTCCCGTCGTCCCGTCGTCCCGATGCCGCCCCGCGCGCGGTGGCATCGCAACGCAAATATACAAAAACACACCGCGCCGCGCTCTCTCGCTTTGTGACCGCGCGCGCACGCCGGACACGGCGCTGGTGTAGGCGCGCAATGTTGCCTGATATCCTCTCCTCCTCACGGCCGCACACAAGCCAGCGAATAAAGATGTAAATTCGCGAAGCGCGCGCGAGCCAAAAAACCCGCCCGCCGTTTCTTGCGCGCGGCGAGCCGCGAATTCCGCGCGCGCGAGATTTTTTTCCTCCTCTCCCCCCCGGGAGGAGCGAGAAACAATGCGGAAAACAAATGCAATGAGAAAAATTCTTCCTGGATCTCTCTCTCTCTCTCTTGGTTCTTGGCTCCCCCTTTATCAAGGGTTTATTGAATTTCCGCGAATTTATCCGCAACGTATACCGCGGGATGGAAAAAAAAAAAGAAAAAAAAAAAAACAACGTCCTGCGGGGGCGCGATTGAATATTCGCGCACGCGAAGGATATTTGGAACTCCGGAAAGTCGTTTCGGAGCGAAGTTGCATTTACACAATTACCCGTTTCCGCGGAACTTTTTAAAAGTACAAATTTCGAAGCTGCGTTTTTCTCTCTGTGTCTCTTTCTCTCTCCCTCTCCCTCTCTTTCTCTCTCTTGCTCTCTCAAAGTTTATCATTACCATTTTTCGTGGAAGCGAAATCCGCGCGTCGACGTCCTCTTTCGCTTTCCTCGCGAAATTCGTTCTCGATCGTCCGGGAGCTGTTTGTCGGAAACGGATTTCCTCGATCGAAACGTCCGGAACGCTCAAAAATGTTTGTTCCAACACGTGCACCTCTTTGACTGTCTTTGACTTGGAACTGCTCGTAATGACACGACTCAAACACGACCTCAGTTATCGGCCGTTGAACGATCGCGTCGTAGTCGGCGAGTCGCGTGTGAAAATTCAGTTCGTCGCGCGGTTCCCCCCACCTGCGCGCCATCTTGGAAATTAGAGCGGCTTCGACGGGAAACAACGTGCGAACGCGCGCGTACGGTAACAACGGTGTCGTTCGAAATGTCGGCGTTGAAAAATCAAACGCGCGTAATCGCGCCGCGAACGGTTGCGATTGTTCGGAAAACTTTGCAACGGCAACGAAATGCTCAAACAACATCGCGTCGCGGACCGAAAGGCCGAATATTTGCGGCGAACAATGAAACGCGGCCGGTAACGTCGGTGTACGCTCTTATCTCGGGAGACTTCTCAGCGCGGGCTTCGCGGTTCCGCGATCTCCCGCGCGGTCGCGCCACCTGCGCGACGACGGTGCGCGTCACGTATCCGCGTGCGCACGGGCCCCACGTATATGGAAACGGTGATAGCGCGAGCGGACTTGGCAACGTCGCCACGGTGAGCGGCGCTGATCGTTAGTTGATTTAAAGTATTCGCGCTAAAAAGAAAAGAACCCGCTCCGGGTTGAATTTGAGGCGCGCGGGCGCCGATCGGCGCCGCGCGATCGCGCGAATCGCGTCGTCGCGCTGAGCGAGACGTTTCCGACCTACCGACCGGTCGGGAGCGTTCGCGCGAACGTCGCTTTTTCGCGCGACGCGTAATCGCAGATAAATTAATCTAAAAAATAATAATGATGAATCCTCTCTCCTCTAAGCGCGCGCTGCGATCGATCCGAGCTTGCTCCGCTCAACGCAGCCGCCGACAGCGCCGCCTCGCGCGAGTCGTCGTTGTTGTGTCGTCGAGAGCGGGAATTTTGTTTCCGGGCGTTCGGCGTTCGGAAGTCGTAGCGGCGGAAAACAACGGCGGCGTCAATATGGCGTAACATCCGGCGCGTCGCCAGTCACTCGCTCGACTTTGTTTGCGGCGGTTCGACTCTCTCTCTCTCTCTCTCTCTGGTTTTAACCTTTAACTCCGGATTTGGAGATTTTTTTTTACTAATTGCGGTTTACTTGCGTGCGCGAATGTGTTTTTACGCGTTGCATGTCGTGTAATTATTATTATTATTGCCGCGAAAACGATAAACAAAAAAGGTGGACGCGCGACTGTTTGCAAATTTGCGTTGCTTGTTAGCGAGGAATGAATTTTTGTCGCGTTTCGTTCCCGGATCGTCGTTAGAACCACCCCGACTGCCATCGCTGCCTTGTTACTTGTTGTCGCTATGCGTTGTTTCCGTTTTGAGTGATCGAACCGTGATTTCGTCGTGATTCATCATCATGTCCAGAGCGACTCGTGCGTCGTCCCGTTGCGCGAAAGGTCACGCCAATAATGCGAACAGGGGTAAGAAACTTCAGAGTTGAGTTCATTTGTAAATTCATATTTGATTCGATTTTGCATTTTTTTGGCACCGGTTGCTCCGGTGTACATATAGGAGGTTATGTTGTGTCACGATATCTTCGCTTGCTCCATGTTTGAAACGCCGAAGCGCGGTGACGCTCCCCTCTGTTCCTCTCTACCGTGCTTGAAATCTCTATCGACGCCCTATCATCCTCCTCGTCTCGGCGCGCGTCACGTTTATCAGCTGCTACAACGCGTCAATTTTGTAATTTTTGTAACCGATTAGCTTTTTCTTTTTTTTGAGAAAGCGTCGGATTTATTTGACAATCGGTGTTTTTCGCGTTAAATCGCGTTTTTACGCACGAGAGTCTCTCACGCGGATATCCGGGGCTAGAAACATAGACACTCTAAACTAACATGGAGTTCGAGAAGTATGAGAAATGTCAGTATATAAACGTTTTGCACGTTTGAAATGTGATATCGCAATTTGAATCGAGTAGTTTTCGAATTTGATTTCCGACAATTTTTTGTTCGAATTTTTTCAAATTTCCAAAAGTTTATCACACATTCGAGAAATCGCACGTACATAGATAATATTTTTAACAATTATTTTTTAAATAATTTTTAATAATATTTTTAACAATATTTTCACATGTGAAAAAAAAACACAGGAAGAAGAAAACGTGGTCTAGAAACAAATGTAACAAAATCTGTTTATTTCCAAAACAAAACTGCAATCTTATCCCCATCGGGAGAAAGGGAAAAATTAATTGCCACAGAACTGGTTACAAATGAGAACAATGACGGAGAAATTAAAACAATTCACAACTCTCAAAAAATATGCTCTCCCGTTATCAAATCAATAACTTATATCTATTACCAAGTAAGTATTTTTATAAATATTGCTGTGATGTGTGTGTATATATTTTTGTAAATGTAACTCTATATGAAATATATATAATCACATAAAATATTTATACAAGTAAACATCCACGGAAAATAGTTTATAGAAATTGTGTATTATAAAGCATTGTTGTTAAAGCATTTGTGTTTTCATTTGCTTTTTCTCTCTTTTTTTCTCCATAGAACTCAGATACAATAAATCTAAACAATTTAGGACCACATCTTTTAGAAAATGGACAAGTCCCGATTTGTGGTCAAGAAAAAAAAGAAATTATTTCTGATGTAGAACAATTCAAAGTCGATGGTACGTATTTGTGAGACAATTCTACATATATTTGTTGTTTGAATTTAATTTGTTTTTAACAGCAAAAAATATTTATTTTAGAAACAACGGTGGCCGTTCCAGTTCATAAAGCGTCTACTCCTCACAAGATAAAAATGCAACTGGTAGACGCAGGAGCTACTAATCCCGATAAGAGTAATCAATCCGTGATGCAACTGCAGTGTAGCCCGTTAAAAGTTGTAATGAAGCCGCCCGCTGCACGAGGTCGTAAAAAAGGAATTTCCAGCAAACCCGTCAATCAACGTCCGTCAACGAAACCGTCAACCATCGGAACAAATCATTCGATCACCGAATACTTTCCGGTCCGTCGTAGTGTCAGAAAAAGCAAAAAGGTCGTGTTGGAGGAGAAGCAACGCGATTTGGAAAACAAAGTGCTCTCTCAGATCGAGGAGGGTTTAGAGGTGTGTGATCCGTTAAATTTTCATCACAAATCAAAGATAAACAAAACACGTTGTTGTGGCAATTTATATTTGCTGCTTTCTGTGTTTATTATTCAGATCAGATATTTTCCGGGTAAAGGTCGCGGGGTTATAACAACACGAGAATTTGCGAAAGGCGAGTTCGTGGTTGAATATATCGGCGAGCTTATCAATCTCGTAGAGGCAAAAGAGCGCGAGAAACGGTACGCGCAAGATCAAAATGCCGGATGCTACATGTATTACTTTCAACATCGTAATCAGCAGTATTGGTAAGAAAATTTCGGATGAATTTTCGATGTGAATTTCGTTCACGAAAAAAAAAAAAAAAAAGAAAAAAATCTGACGGCAATTTAATTAAAATTGATTGACGCGCGCGACGAATGAAACACGTGATTTTTCCAGCGTCGACGCAACCGCGGAGTCTAACAAGCTAGGAAGATTGGTGAATCATTCGAGAAACGGGAATTTGGTGACGAGAATCGTCGAGGTTTGTTCGATGCCGCATCTAGTGCTCACGGCGAAGGAGGACATATCGATCGGCGAAGAAATCACATACGATTACGGAGATCGGAGTCGCGAATCAATTCGTCATCATCCATGGTTGGCGTTATAGCACTTCAAAAAATTGTTATTTATTTATTGCGTTATATGTTATTGTACAAAAAAAAAAAAAAAAAAACAAAATATTCAATTTCTCTGTATGTTTCTTCTATGAAGGAACATTCAATTAAATTTATATAAAATTATCTACAATTTATGTATATTTATGAAAAAACTTGCACGTGCAACTTTTAGGCTAATTGAATTCGAAACAAGTGGTAGTTACATTGCGAGAAGTTTTTCTTGAATGTTTATAAAAAAAAAAAAAAACTGAAGAATTACGATTAAATTTTTAACAAAGAGATTGCATGAACGGAACGAAGAGAGACGGCGGCACGTCATCAGCAGATTTCCCAGATTTAGTTTTGGCTGATGATGATGATGATGTGAGGTTTGAAAGTATAGATATACTTCTCTGTGAATGCGTTAATTGTTATGCGTTCGACGTGATATAGTATTATGAGGCGAAAAACGTTTGTATTGAATGAAAAGCGAACTTAAGTGGAATTGTGACGAATCGTAGTACGAATCGCGCTTCATCTAAGGTTTGTTGTTTTTTTCCCCTGAACTGGATGCACTAGTTCAGGGAAAAAAAAACAAACCTCTAGTTCCAGCTTTCGATGGAAATTCAAGTTGAGAAATTTCCACGTTACTCTTAGGCCGGAGTTAATCGAGAGATCTCGAAGCGTTTTTGTAACACGCACTGATTTATACAAAAAAAAACTACGATTGATAATCTCTTCCTTTTTTTTTTTTTTTTTGTTTTTTAAACATAAGCGATCGCTGCACAGAAAAAACACAGATTAGGTTTTTTCTTTTAGAATATTTTTATCCGACACGCGATAGTTTAGGAGTTTTTCTATTCACTGCCGTGAACTTTCTGCGCTGGAATGTTTCCGAAAAGACAATTGTACAATGTATACTGTAAAAATGATACGTGTAAATAGGGTAAATTCTCCGACTTGCGTTCATCATGTTCAAAAAATGTCTCTCAATGTGTGCGTTATAACTTTCATCTCTTTCAGTCATTTTGTTCCCATTTCCACCTTCATCATCGTTTTATTTATAAAAAGCATTAAAGCGAGTTACATCTGTTATTTAATAAAACTACGTCAATTTCATGTATTTTTACATTGTTGCTAATTTAGTATACACAGCCGCTTCTATATATACTTTGTAATTTTACATAATTATATCCAGTTTTTTCTAAGGATCGATTAAGATTTATCGTAATTGAAATCTTTTTTCCCGTTTCCTGAATGTGCTGAACTTTTAGTTTGTTTTTTTTTTTTTTTTTTTAACGCACGTTATATTTGCGCCAATTTTAATGATAAATAAATTTGCAATAAAAAGATTGTGTGATGCAAATGTGTTTTGTATACAACAAACAAAGCTTTACAGCAATCTGTGTGTGTGTGTGTGTGTGTGTACATGTATTTATAAACTTTGCGGTGGCACACACACTCGCACAAACGCGAGCGACGTCAGTTATTGATCATTGTTCTTCGAATCTCACGCGCCCTCCCGTTAGCGTGTCTGACGGTAGGACGCTTTAATTTTGCGACAAGTTTTTAAATGTTGATCGCTATAAAAAATAAAAAAATAAAAAAAAAAAAACGCGCGAAACAAACATGTTCTTTGCAGTTTTGTCGAGACCGACGAAACGCCGCTTGTGGCGTTTGACGGACAAAAATTATAGATGGTGAAAAATTTATAAAAGAGCGAACACAGGTTAGTTTGCGAGACAAGAAAAAGGTATTGGTTACGCGAGGGATACACGGGGCATTTTGAATCTCGCGAGCGTGCCGAGAGAGAGACAAAAACGTTGAATGAGACACGGAGACCGAAACCTTTTCGCATATGAAATACATACCGTTTTTTTCATGCCCGAAAATGGACAGAATGCCAACAACCGAGTGTTTGACTCTTGATTTCGGACCGTTCGAGACGGTTCATCGATGGAAACGTATGCCCGAGTGCGACGAATTCGTCGGAGCCAGGTAAAAAGGAAGACCGATATGGATATTTACAGAGATAAATTTTCGCTCTCTGTCAATTTGTTCGTGTGTTTCATCTGATCAATTTTTTTTTTAACATTTGCGTATTTCGAACGCGACTTGAGACAAAAAAAAAAAAAAATACTGGCGTATATAAAATTTTTATATTCCAATTAATATAATTTATAACCTCTGTATTTTTGTGCAGACGAAGCAAACACACGGTTGTCCCGTATAAAGATGCAATTTATGTGTTCGGCGGTGACAACGGCAAGACAATGCTGAACGATTTGCTGCGATTTGATGTGAAAGAAAAATCTTGGGGAAGAGCATTCGCAACGGGAACCCCACCGGCTCCACGCTATCATCATTCCGCGGTTGTTGACGGTTCGTCGATGTTTGTATTCGGCGGCTATACGGGAGACATTCATTCTAATTCTAATCTAAGTAACAAAAACGATCTCTTTGAGTATCGCTTCCAAACCGGCCAGTGGATAGAATGGAAGTACGTTGGAACGTGAGTATATTTTGCTCAACGTCAGCAATTAGGTTTTAACTTTTTTTGTTTCTTGTTTTTCTCTAGATGAGATATTTTATATGATGTGATTTACAGGTGCCCGGTGCCTAGATCTGCTCACGGTGCTGCTGTGTATGATAACAAATTGTGGATATTTGCCGGCTACGACGGCAATGCCAGATTGAATGATATGTGGACAATATCGTTGGTGGTGAGTTTGATTGAGCGCTTTAAATATTTTGTGAATGCGTTCAATGCAAAGAGAGTATATTTGGAAACGTTGGTAAAAATTTTCTAACGAAGATTGTTTTAGATATTTCAATTCTTTTCAATTTAATAAGCCTGGTTTATTTTTTTTTTTTATCTCTTATTAGCCTGGTGATTCCAAAGAGTGGGAAGAAGTTGAGCAAAAGGGCGAACTTCCGCCGACATGTTGCAATTTTCCCGTTGCGGTAACTCGAGAATCCATGTTCGTTTTCAGCGGACAGAGCGGCGCCAAGACAACGAACGATCTCTTCCAATTTCACTTTAACGAGAGGCGGTAAAAAAAAAAAAAAAAATAAAAAAAACGATTTTATCGCTGCAAGATTACATTTAACACGTTTGTTCACGGTATCTGAGATTCATCTTGGTGAACGGTCAATTTCTAATAATTCAGATGGACGCGATTATCAACGGAACATATATTACGCTACGCACCACCACCGCCTGCGCGCCGATACGGTCACACGATGGTCAGCTTCGAACGGTATCTCTATGTTTTCGGCGGTGCAGCGGAATCATCTTTGTCCAACGATCTTCACTATTACGATCTCGATACGCAAACGTGGCACGGTATCGTACCGTCCTCCGACAGTCAAGTGAGCGACTTGTATTTCTTGTAAAACAAATTACACGCAGTTCTTTATTCTTTTTTTTTCTTCACGGTATAAAAAAGAATCTTTTTTTTTTTATACCGCTTATAGATACCGCCTTGTCGACTCTTCCACGCCGCCACTGTGATCGGAGACGCGATGTTCATGTTCGGCGGAACAATCGACAACAACGTACGTTCCGCCGAGATGTTTCGCTTCCAGTTTGCGTCTTATCCGAAGTGCACGTTACACAAGGACTTTGGCAGATTGTTGAGCAATCGTCTCTTTTGCGATTTAGAGTTTATTGTGGGACCGGAAGAGACCAGAATACCGGCACACGCGGCCATGATCGCGGCACGCTCGGAATTTCTTAGGACGCGTATTCGACAAGCGCGCGAGAAGAGGGATTTGTATTTGGAGGAAGTGTATGGTACCGTTGATGTTCCCGTTAAAGACTTGCCGTTGTTGGAGGTAAATGATTTTCTATCAAATATGAAGAAAGAGAAAAGAGAGAAAACGTGTGTGTGTATGTGTGTGTGTCAATATAGTCAAAATAAATATAATTCTCTTTAGCGACATTTTACAAATGACTGTTGAAGGTGACGCTGAAAGATCCCGCGCCAGAACCCTTCGAGCTGGTACTAAGATACATTTACACCGATCGCATTGATCCTACCGAGACACTGATCGACAACACTGAAAATTCACAAAGCAATCGCATCGTTCGCCTCATGATGGATGTGTATCGTATCGCTGTGGGATTCAACATGAAGCGTTTGGAGTTGCTGTGCGTCAATTATCTCGAGGCGACTATAACTCACACCAACGTTCTGGAAGCTTTGCGCAACGCCGTCGAATTGAAATTGTATTTTCTCAAGGAATTTTGTCTCAGTTTCGCCGTGAGAGACGGCAATTACAATCTAATCGTGATGAGCCAAGAATTCGAGACTCTGAATCAGCCGCTGATGGTGGAAATTATAAGACGTCGGCAAATGCCTCAAGCTAAACCTTTGACGAGATACGAGAACGACTCCGTTATCCGTACGTATCTTGCGTATGTGTGTATGTGTGTGTGAACGTATTTTGTGAGCGGTACGTGTTTGTTACATACCTTTCGAATATTAGTTCACGGAAGTTTGGTTGCGCAGGTACTGGATTGGAGCAAGATATGCAAGCGTTTTTGAAGGGCGCTATCGGTCAGGAATTTTGTGACATTACATTGATGCTGGACGGTACGCCGATATCGGCGCACAAGGCCGTTCTTGCGGCGCGCTGTAGTTACTTCGAGGGGATGTTTCGATCATTCATGCCCGAAGATAATAAAGTAAACGTAAGCGTTTGGTTTTTTAACAATAAAAATAAATAAACACACACATTCCGACGAAAGTGTTTTTCGTTGAGCAGGAAAAGAGAAGCGACTGTGCCGCGTATGTGTGTTTTTATATAAGTGCAATTACTAGCAGAAATAATAAAAAAAGCGTAAATGTTTTAGATACAAATCGGCGATATGGTACCGTCGTCCGAATCGTTTCACTCTTTGCTGAGATATATCTATTACGCGGACACTTCGATGCCTCCCGAGGACTCTTTGTATTTATTTACCGCGCCGATATTTTACGGTTTCACGAACAACCGACTTCAAGCGTTTTGCAAACAGAATATTGAGATGAACGTTACGTTTCAAAATGTTATAGAGATTTTGGAAGCAGCCGACAAAATACAAGCCACCGACATGAAGAAATACGCTTTGAATCTTATAGTTCATCACTTTACCAAGGTGAAACGTCGTTCTAATTCCGTGTGTTCGAACGTTATCGCAAGTTTGTGCGTGCGCACACAACACACACGGTGTATGTGCGAAATATCATTTTGTTTTCAGGTTGTTAGACTCCCGAGATTGCAACAGTTAAGTCGCAAGCTCTTGCTAGATATTCTCAAGGCTTTGGGCGACGAGCGTTCCGAAGCTAGATCGTGTCTAGATATAACGAACGATTGCTGACGGAGTTCCGTATTCGATCGTCAAACGTATAGCTGGGATTCACCATGCAGTTTTCAAGTAAAAAAAACCGATTATTTTGAAAAGGAATTGGTTTTGTTTTGAAACACAACCAAGTCTTGCTCATTTATATTAGAATTACAGTGTTGAATAATAATGAACCGTGTCTCTTTTCTTTTTTTCTAGGAACTGTGTCGACTGCATTTTATTCTCATAGGACGAACGGTTTTGTTCCTCGGTAATTGCTATCTCGATCACGCGACTCAATCTTGCTTGACATTAGACGTACAGAAAAAGACTCTCCTGCCATCATCGACGAGCACGTCATCCGCTTGGATTCACGAGTTTTCGTCGTACAATGCTCATTCGGTCGCGTCGTCTCGTTACAATGACGACAAAAACCATCAACGGTCTACCATTACTCGTCGTTGTTTCGCAAGTTACAACATATTCAAACGTACTATCGTTGCTCTAACAGACCTCAGAAACTGTAAAAAACTATTTCCGTAATTGTTTTTATATAATGAACGAAATGACAAATGATTTTTCGTTGTCTTGAATAGAATCGCTCGCTACGAAAAGACCGATGTGTAATACTAGTCTTCAGTGTTTATGAGAGAGAGAGAAAGAGAGAGATAATATACAATACTATCAAAATGTGTTGAAAAAAACAAAAAATGTATTTTAATAGACTGCAAAAGCTAAGTGCACTCTACAAGTGACAAACATGTTAATAATTATTCCACTGTGCTAATCATCAGGTATTTCTCTCAAAAATTAGTTCATTAATTGTTTTTCAATCTTAATACAGTCAAACCTCGATAACTCGAAAACCTCTGTAAGACGAAAATTTTGTTCATTTCCTTCCGCGGAAAGGAAAAACAAACTTTGATAAGTCGAAACCTCTACAACTCGACGATTTTAGCTCTTCCCTTGAGATTCGAGTTATCGAGGTTCGACTGTGGTATTAAAATCAAATCATTTTTCTGAGATCACACAAGCTTTTACTTCAGTGCCAGATATAAAAAAATGATCTACAAGTTGTCCAGACCGGGTCTGTGAGATCCACGCGACTTTAAGTTCGAATATCTCCGTAAAAAATCAATATTTTTTCAATTTCTTTTTTTTTGAATCGAAAGGTTGGACGATTCTGCGTCGATCAAAAGAAACAGATTGAAAAAATCCCCGGTTTGAATACACAAAAAAACGTTTAAAGAGAAACCTGACAATTTTTTTTCGAAAAAAGGTTTTTTGTTTAAAAATTCATAACTTTTTGTGTAATTAAGATGTTCACAAAATTCCGACGTAGTTTTGTACGGACTTGTTCGTACTTACGGGGACAAAAGTGTCTTCTACAAATTATTAAAAAATCATATATATAATAATGTATATATATATAAAATTATATATATATATAATTATAATATATTTTGATAAAATTATTTAAAAAAAACAATTTTTTAATATATTAGAAGTGCACAAACTGAAAAAAATTTACTTATTTTTCGAAATATCAACGTTTTGTCCAGACTTGGATCTCTCAGATCTTTTTTGCACTTTAAACTTCAAACTTCGCAAAGCTATTAAACGAAGGACGCTGTCAACGACTTCTACCATTGTCTAAGGCCTTAAAGTTTTTTTTTCATGGCCTTCAGACGTCGCGCTAAATTATATAATACCTAGTAGAGACATCGGTTTAAAACTTTTGGGTGAGTCTCTCGGAGACTCATATCTGACACTGAAGGTTTAATAAAGCTCTCAATGATTAATTGATAATCTGTTGGATAAAAGTTTATTATCATGTTTTTATCATGATATGAGAGAGGAATTCTTGTTTAAACTATACATGAAACATCTCTATTTGCTACTGATATTTTTATAAGCAATTTCCATCTTTGTATTTCACATTTCTCTGATATAATATATATCTGATATAATATTTGTTACGATTTCATTCAAACAAAAACGTGCACAAGTAATCTTTATTTTAAAAAGCGAGTAGAAGCAATATTCTATTTTTGTTTCACATTTAATAAACAATAAAGCTGTAATAATGCTTTTAATATGAAAGTAATTAGTCGATAGTCCGTTATATAGAGTGTGTTCTATAAAACGCGCTTTGTTCGTCCAGATGGCGCGAAAGAGTGTTATATAAGTTGTCACGAGTAGATATTTATTGGATGGTGTTCAGTCAGAAACTCCGAGTCTATTCACTCTGGTCTGGCGGTACAACAGTTTCAAGATTAGAGGAAATACGTGTGTGATTATTACAATATAGAATTTGTTATCAGTGCAAGACCTAAGAAAGAACTATTACCACTTTACTTGGAAACATGTATGTACGAAAAAACATTTTCATAAACATTTTAGAAGATAATGAATCGTAACAAATAGTTTTTATTATTCTAATTCTCACATATGTATTTTACTTTATGAATAAAATTATCATCCGTATACTTTTTATACACGTAATAGACATGTATTTTTTTAAAAAAGAATATGCATTACATAATTGTTTGTAAAAACATTTTTTCAATCTTACATTTACATAGATATTATTTTATTACACAATTTATATATTTTTTCCGAGATGTGTGAAAAGATATTTATTTGTGTGCGTGTGTGAAATTTATATATCGTATATATATTATCGGTTTGCTTTGTAGATGGTAATAATAAAAACATTTTTTTTTATTCCTTCAAATCAGGCGACGGGATTTATTATATAATTTATTATATAATATTTTTTTATACTTGCAAACATAATTTCTGCAAAATATGAGCAACAGTTTGTGATTTGAAACTTCTCTTTTATATCACGTTATTTGTCACAATATTTTAGGAGCGCATTTCCTCCCACTTATGTCGAGGGTTTTCACAATCCTGAAGCTGTAAAATCAATGGAATACAAAAAACTCGGAAAAACAGACTTGTTAGTGAGCAAATTATCTTTTGGTACCGGACCACTCGGTTGTCATTATGGGTATGGGATTATCACTTGCACGAATTATTACATTTCAAAACGAGATAACGATATCTTAACGTGTTACTGCCAGTACGTATAACGAGGACGATGCTATTGAAGCGATACGTGAGGCGATAAAACAAGGAATCAATTATATTGATACAGCACCTTGGTACGGTCAAGGTCGATCCGAGACAACAATTGGCAAGGTTCCCATCTTTATTTAAACAATTATATTACAACTTTTCAAAATTTTTGTTTTTACGCATTATTAAATACCATTTATTATTTTACTCGGCATATCTGTTTTATTGCAGGCTTTAAAAGGAATTCCACGACAAGCTTATTATATCGCGACAAAAGTCGGCAGGTACGAGCTAAATTACGACAAAATGTTCGACTTTACCGTGGAGAAAATCAGAAAAAGTTTCAAAAAGAGCTTGGAATTATTGGGCGTGGATTACGTTGACGTTATTCAGGTGACGGAACACACACCGCACACAGATTTTATTTGAAAATTTAATAAAAAAAGTATCTCGCTTTGTAATAAAAATTTTAAATGGAACAAATTGTTTGCAGGTTCACGATATCGAATTCGCGCCGTCATTAGACATAGTGATCACGCAAACCTTACCGGAACTGTCCAAGCAAGTGGCCGAAGGCAAAGCCAGATACATAGGTCTGACCGGGTATCCGGTGTCCGTGCTCAAAGAATGTGTCGAAAAGAGCAATATAAATATATCCTGTGTGTTAAGTTACTCAAGACTCACACTGATCGACGATACTTTGTTAGAATACATTCCGTTCTTCAAGGTTCTTTTTGTTACATTCGTCGTGTTACACACATTTGCCAAACCACGTTCGAAACAAAAATCTCGGAGTTAAATTATCCGAGAACATTTTTTATAGGAACATAATATCGGACTGATTAACGCCGCCACGCCGTGCATGGGTCTCTTGACAAATGACGGTCCTCCAAATTGGCATCCTGCTTCTGAAGAAACGAAGAAACAATGCGCTAGTGCCGCGCAATATTGCAAGGTTCGTGTATTATTGAAAATAATAAAATTTGATAAACCCGGAATGTATAACGCCATTGAGAGAAATCTTGCGATACTTGAAAATAGGATCACGATGTGGAACTCTGCAAACTGGCGGTATGGCATTCTATGCAATACGCGGACGTGGATACCAATTTGATTGGAATACAAAGTACAAAACAATTGCAGATGAATCTGAATGTGTTGCGAAATGGCATTACGGAGAAAGAAAAAGTGTTATTAGAAGAGATACAAGAGAAGTATGTTTTGTTAAGATTTTTGTTGTTTCACACACACACACACATACACACGTACGCAATGTCTTTTAAATTTTTTAAGAAAATGTTAAACTAAATGAAGGAAGCATTTATTTCAGATTTCTGTCGACAATAAAGAATCAAGATTGGGAAGGGAAAGAAGTCGAAATCTATCGAGAAGCTATGAAGAATAAGAAAACATAAATAATATACGTCACATTTTTACAGCTTTTTTCTACATTTTATTACTGTGTTATATATATATAAAATATATAAATTTTTCTAAAATATATAAAATGTACCCAACATTTGTTTATTTGTACGTTCACTTATCTCTAATCTTTGCGCAACACATGAAGACATTTGCAATGCTTCATATAAAAAAAACTATACTTTCTTATATAGTTTACAGTAGCGTACAGAAGTGTATAAAAGTTAGTACAAAATCGTAAATAATACTGAATGTATATTACTCAGGTAACAGAGATTTATAATTTAGTTGAGGCACATTTATTGTAATAGGAAATTATCACACTTATTTTCATCAGTCTCATTAATTTTCTCAGTTAGGGATAAATTCCCTAACTTGCTACTATCTCATTTTTCGTACTGAAACGTTTTAAAATTCTTCCCTAATACAAAATTTGTTATGCAAGTCTGATAATTTCGTACGTTAATTCATATATCATTTTAGACAAAACAAGTCCCAGAAATGGTCGGCGATACATTTTTCTCAATTCAAATCCCTCCTTCAGACATAGGTCTCTGTGTTCTTCTCTGTATTCGGAAGCTACCATATCAACACAGTTGTATCCCACATCGCTCGCGAATTTCACAGCAGTTTGCAAGAGACGTTCTGCAATACCTTTTTTCTGACGATATTGTTTGTGTACGTACAGCATCTTTATACACGCGCTCTTTGTCAAAGCGCATCCGCACAAGCCAATGGTTCCTACAATTTGTTTTGTCTCCTGCGAAACAGGAATGTGTCCAATGTTCTCCGAAAACTGGTCTTCCGTCATTATGGTGTAACCAACGTCTTCAGAATGTTTTGTCACAGTGGAAAACTTGAATGCCTCGGCAACCCAGAAGCATGAATCAGCACTGATCATGTAAGTTCTGTGTGTATTAACACAAAATATCAATTATATTTAATTGTTACACTCAAATGTGACATATAGACAGTACGTATACTTATGTATTAGACTGACATGTGCATCATATGTGTACCTGACAATGTTATCCACTTGTGCATTCACTTCTGCTATCTTCATTCCAAAGATCAGACGCGTGACAACGAACACCAGCGCGATAACCACCGGTACAACCAAAAGGCACGTGGTCAGCGGCGTTCCAACGAAGATAAACATTATCGCGGCGAGTAAAATAATGATCTGAAAAACGAGCTCCTTGAACAGCATCTCGAAGAACGTCGCGCTCAGGAAAGACATCAAGCAGTCTCTGATCAATTCCTTGCAACTTGTTGCATCGCCGGAATTAAAAGGGCGTAGAATTATTATTGTTGAACTCATTGTTGAAACAACGGTAGAGTTTATTTCGCTCTGTATAGAAAAATACGATAACTACATACGTATATAAATATATTCCGGCAAATATTTGTTACACAAATACCTAATCAGTCTTTCGCACGCTAGACGTATTAGTCACACACGTGCTCGAACGGTTGATGACTTTAGGCCTGTTCTATACAATACAGTTGTAAGTCGTGAGAAATTATAACCAATCGCAATCGATTATTCTTCTGTGATCAGTCTGTGATTGGTCAATTTCTTACGACTTAGGCCTGGTTTATGCGGACAAATAAGGCCTTGTTTAGGCCTCGTTTATGAGAGTAATAATTGTTAACTTATGCCGGAACTGGTACAGTTCAACTACAGGATTTTGATGCTTCTGTTTATACGAAATTGCCGAATAAACAGAAATATTAAAATCTTAGGTCCGCACAAACCAGGCCTAAGTCGTAAGAAGTCGACCAATCACAGACAAATCACAGAAGAATAATCGCGATTGCGATTGGTCAATTTCTTACGACTGTATTGCGAAACAGGCCTAAGCAAGTGGATATCGAAACGCGAGTCGAGTTTCGATATTTCGAGAATCGCAATATCGCGCATGTTCGATACACCGGCGAGCCAGTCTATGGCGGAAGTGGTCGCGGCGATTGTGGAACCTAAATTCGAATCGTTCCGTGTTTCTCGACGATTTATCATCGTTCCGCGAGTGATTGTTGCTGCCCCGATCGCACGTACGCGTACCGCGAAGTGTCGAACGTTCGTCGCGGATATATAATCGGCAAGCGCGCTCGCCGGTTGTGTTTAAATCGGCGAGAAAATAGGAAGGTTTCAAGTCGCGGCGAAAAAACCTAATGGCGGCCGTTCGCGCTTAAGCGCGCGGGAAACGAAATTGTCGTCGTTGTACGCACGCGTCGCGTACGCGATTACGCGTGTTCGAGAGTGAATAAGAAAAAAACGTAAAAAAAAAAAAGGAAATATTGTGACACTAGTGACTTTACGCACAACATTTGCGATCGTCTGCTGGAAGGATTTCTCAGCTTGCGGCGGGAAATGGAAATCGTCCGAAATCCCGACAACGTGTGTGGAGCAGAGGAAGGAGTGTAATCCAGGTACGTCTTTTCACAGATCATTAATTGTATTCGCTACGCTATTTAGCGAATATAAACACGGACCAAGAGGGACAAAAAAAATTCAAGTAATTAAAAAAATTCAAGATTGTTATTGGTTACAAAACCATCATTTTATTCGGATAAAAAAATTTTTACACATTAAAATAATATTACAATGGGGTGCATCGTTCACTTTGCAACTCTACGTACACTTCGTGCGAATTGATTGCGGTATTTGTTCTGCAATATTCCCACCTAATATCAATCAGAAAAATTCGGTTGTAGTTTTGTGCACAATGATATTGTCGCTTTTGATGACGTGCAATATTTTTCAAATTTATATTGCCGCGTATTTTTTTTTTTTTTTTTTACCTGTGACCTTTACGATCTTCGAGAGCAAGTTTGTCGAGAAGTATCACGTCCGTGTCTACATCTTGCGCGGCGTCCTCTTCCGTTTTGTCATTGGTGTTACGTTGATACGACACGATGCCGGTGATCGCTGTGGTATTTGCGTCTAACGCGTCAAATTCTGCCGCCGCGATGTTGTAAAATGTCATCCATTCGTTTCTCCGTCTGGACAAGCTTGATTATAATATTTAAGACAATATTTAGCTTCACACAAAAATTTATATTGATAAATTACACCTAAAGAATTTAAAAATTTGTATTTTTTTGGTAACGTTTTTCTCACAAAACAATTGTATATATATATATATATTGTAAGAACAATTTTAAATCATCTTTCTTTCTTTCTTTTTTTTTCTACATTGGAATTAATATTTAAATATAATTTTACATATAAATCACCTTAAATTATAATTTAATCACGTCTACGATTTTTACTTACGTGCACTGGATTTTAAACAAAGTTGTAGAGTTGCCGATTAAGACTTTGAAAAAGAGTATGCCAGATGTTTTCGGCATACCGTCGGATATTATAACCGATGCTCTGAGCGGTTGACCTGCGATATGTAATTCTTATTTTATTTATCAATTGTCCGAAGAGAGTTTTCCACATTATCGGTGCAAATTCGTACACGTCAAAAAAATTTGTCTATCAGATTATTGTTAAAAAAAAAACTATTTACCACAAAACGGCGTTTCGCCCCTGGTCGCCAGATAGTAGATTCCGAGTGGTCCGCGATCGGCCGCGTAACCCATTTCCTGATGCCAGTCGGTCGTTTCCATTGGGAAACACGTTCCTCGCGCGTAGGATACTCCTCCCTGCGGACAGGGCCAGGCGATGAATTTGCATCTGTCTTCCTTCTGCGTGCGAACGGTGTCCACGAAGAGCTGCCAGGCTCTCAGATGACTGCACGCTATATTACGATCCAGTAGCTCCTCTGGAAACAATTTATCAACGCGCAAAACATTTTTTTACATTCTTCCCAAGTTTGGTCATTTTTAGATTCATCTTAACATTTAACGGCTATTGAAAATAAAATGTTTGAGTTGATTTCTCTCGATATTTCTCGACCGTTTCTAATTTTCTTTAATTTTTATCCAAAACATTTGGATTTTTTTTTTTTAACAACGATCCGTTGATCTTGTAGTTTATTCAGTCGCGATTTGTTGTAATTGTGCAACACGAACGGAGAAAGTTTGACATCTAATTCGCACACCTTTCAAATGGCTGACCACAACCGAATTCTTGATATCGGTGCAACCGGGTTGCTCTCGACCGCCGTTTGGAAAAAAATCTATATGTCCGATCGGTTTCAGTAAACCAAAACCGTCGGCGAAATCCGACGAGCCGTCCGTGTGAATGACGTCAACGAGAAGAGCGTCGGTTGCGTCCAATTTTCTTCCTTTTTCCCTGAAAAGGTGATTCCGGAAGAACGGCGACGCGGGATCGAGACCGGTTATGCGACCCAGAATCAGATTCTTCTTCTTTAGTACTTCGGACGCGCAACCGGCCACATGCGCGCCGAGACTGAAACCGATCACGTGAATATTGAGGGGATTGATCCCCAAGTTGATCACGTCCAGAAGTATCAGAGCCAATTGTCGACCGACCAATTCGCTGTTCGCTACCGCATTTCCGTAACTCGTCCCGGCGCCCTTCGTCCAGTCTAAGACGATGACGTTCGAGTCCTCCTGTGTGCGCGCAGATTAAATGTGTTTACGAAAGTGTTGCAAATAGAGTTTCAACAATAAGAGACTTTTCAAAAGACTTTCTACCGTGGAAATATGAGTTTTCAAATTCCGTGAAAAAAAAAAAAATGAGCAATCTAAAATTAGATAATTACTATATCGAAGAGCGAATTTATGGCTTGCATCATGCCGGTGTCGCTCCCGCTACCCTTGAAACCGTGTATCAACACTTTGAGATGTTTGGTGGCATTGAATCGCGAGTGCAGAATAGATTTCAGATCGTCGCCGTATTGAATGGGCTGCGGAGTTTGCGGATCCTCGTGTGTGTAAAGAAAGAATCTGGTCTGAATGATACTGGGATGTTCGGGCGGTCGTCTTAACGACAATTGCGGCGGCAGATCCGCAAAGCAACCAACCAGATCTGAAATGTATTTTTCCGACATTTGTAAATCGAAGATATTAACATATATATATATATGTATATACGTTTCGCGCTCGATGAGAAAAGTGCAAAAGTGTATCTTACCGTAGCAAATCTTCGATTTTTCCTCGCGGGAGATGGCGATTCGTCTCAGCATCGCGCGATTCCGTTCTGCGAGAAATTTGACTGTAAAAGCAAAGGGGGTACGTTGGTCCTGGACGGTTTAGCGATCACGACTCTATTCTGTATGCGCGTCGGCACTTTGTTAGAGTTTTCATTTTGTCAACAAAAACTTGAGCAACAGGCTCTTCAGCAAATTTTTCTCGCTAATCATACAGTAACCATGTAGTAACTATATGTAGTAACTAATATAGTAATTAATCTTCTTGCTATATCAGCAAACTTTTTTTTTCGTGTAGATTTAATCTTCGGATTAGAGAGACTTCCAGCTTCGAAAGAGACCAAGGATAAAATATTTGTGTAATAATTTACACAAAAAGTCATTTAAAGACATTATGAAATTTCTAAGTCCCCCCGGGGGAGTCGACACAAAAGTAAATCCGACGTCTCGTTGTGAAAAGTCCAACGCGTTACGAAATAAGTCCGCAAAGGTTTTTTTTTATTCTCGAAAGATCAAGTCCGTCTCTGCGCGTCATTGACCATCGACCGATCTTCCTTGGTAGCATTTTGCCTCCACGTGGTCCCCCTCCAACTTACCCAACACCTTTCACCCGAAAGAAAGTATATCTCGAATTATTATTCTTAACGGTACCGCTTCAGTGTGACGAGCACACCGGTGCCGATGCGATACCTGCGTTCGTATATTTGTCACGAAATTGTCACCGTTGCGCTACATAAATAAATTAATAGTTTTGCCGTGAAAGTATGTCGTCAAGGCAAATACAAACAACGCGCGTCCGTTAATACAAATTTCTCAGGTGCGAATTATTACGCGCGCAAAAAAAAAAAAAAAATGTTCGTTTGTTCCGGGTGTTAAAGTGAACGTGTTTGCGGTTGCACGTGGTATTTGGGTTACGTTTTGTTTTTTTTTTCTTCGAGAACAAACGGGTGTAAGAAATTCCAATTGAAGCAACGCGATTTGTTTGATTTTTTTTTTTTTTATATCTAACACAATTGCGCAACAATTGCGCGAGAAATTGATCAGAACTATCGACGTGTTAAAAAAACGCGATTATATTCTCAATTGTGTAATACGCTCTCGCTACTCAAGTGGAAACAGAAACAATCACAAAATGAAACTTGCGATGTAACTTGCGCGCAAATTATACAAGGTTAGGTTAGGTTTGAAACTTTTTCACGCGGTGAATTATAAAATCGCGAAATACGTGCCGATTTCGATCAATGCGACTCCTGTCTTTCTCGCGATGTTGTGATTTCTTCTTCTGTTCAAGATAATGATCGCGTGATCGCGTTACGTTGCTATTACGTGTCTAGTTTTTTTTCCGATATAATGACATTTAACTCACCCGGTTGCAATTTTCCCGCGATAGATGCGGTGATGTTGATCATCAACAGGGAGAAGAGAACACGATGTAGAACGTTGACCGGTTTCATTCTGTCACTGGGTCGTCGGAGATTCGTGTTCTCCGTAGAATTCGTTGCCCATCCTTCTTCCATTCGAGATTATCTTACTTTCTCCTCCGTCTCTTCTTCTTGTTTTCGCTTTGCTTTTTATTTCTCTCTTCTTCTCTTCTCCGTTATTCTTCTTCTTCTTTTCTCGACGGAACACGTCGCTTCTCTGTTTCGCGATCGACGAGACGCGCTTTTTGTTTTTCCTTTGCCGGTCAGACTCGCCGGGGCGGACTTTACTCGTGAAGTTGCGAGATAGCGTATACACCTTCTATAAGCGGATTTTTTTGCGCAACTACCTCTTTCCGCTTGCTAGAGCCTGACGACGGCTCCGCTCTGACATTTGCTTTTAACGCGAGTCGGCGGAGATTTCCCAAGGTGACCGTTTTCAAACAAACTACGCTTTATGCATAATTTTGTTTACATTTCTGGATAGGTTTTTTTCATTTACACACAATCTCTTTTATTTACATGTACAACGTTTGCTAAAAGTGTGGTAAAAGCGTCTTGTGAAAGTTTTTTTTTTTTTTTTTTTTTTGTGAGACGAAGAGATAATTGCAATTAAAAATAAATTGTTTTTCTTTATCAATGATTTTTCGCGCTGCGTTAATACGCTTTCACTAAATAACTGCGCGCCTTTTAACATGATGTAACTGTGTCATACCATCCAGCGGTGGAAAATTGCACGAACGATGTTGAATGTGCGTACATGCGTAGCTTTCACCCGAATGAGTTGTGTTTGATGTAATTACGTAATGTAATCGACACCGAGATAAAATAAAAAAATAAAAAAATATTGATTTTGTTTGTTTGCATAAAAGAGCGAATACGAAAAATCCTCAAGAGGGGAATCTCTTTTATATTATTCGTTTTTATTATTTTATTACTCGTGTACACACGTTTTATTATTTTATTATTCTATATTATATCAAAGATATAAAAAATTCTTTATATCTCTCAAAAATTATTCTCTAAAAGAAAAAACATATATATTTACATACCTGACACGCGAAGCACGTACGTGTATCTATTTTACGGACAAGTTAAATTACAGGTTTTTGTGTCGATTTGATTTATTTGCCAACTCAGTGAGTTTCGAGATCGTGTTGGCGTTCAATTAAATTACATAAGCCGAAAAGAAGTTGCTTACAAACGATCATTTTATTTACGGTTTGTTGAGTTTCTATCGTTTCCGCATTTGCGTCATTTTAATTCTAAAGGCACTGGAAGCGTGAAATCAATACTCGTGTTTTTTCTCGAAAAAAAAAGAAACAATTTCTTGTGACAAGTGTGAAATCAGTTATTCGAACAGTCGGCAATCAAATAAATTGTTCTCCATCTTCAAGTGACATATATGTATATACATATATGCGTGCCTCATAACTTTTTGTGTGTTACTAAGTCTAATTAACAAAAAATTAACAAAATATTTAGTAAAACAAAACCATGTTTAAATAGTAATTTGAATATAAATAATATAAATGCATTTTACATGTCAAATTAATTAATTATAAATATTTAGATTAAAAAAAAAAAAAAAAAAAACCACGTGCACAACAAGTAGTAAGCTGCGGCGAGTGATGAGAGGGATATAGACACGTACCCATTACTTATAACATATTTATTTGTAATGTTTTATTAATATACTCCTTATCGTAGACATATATTTATATCGTATGGCAGCATATTATTATGATATTGTATAATAGAAGTGAGGTGACAGAACGATTCATTTTTTATTTCTCTTTTTACTCTCTCTCTTTCTCTCTCTCTCTTTCTCTCTATCTCTTTCTCTCTTCGCGGTCGAAGAACGACACACATTTTTTTATTTCATTGCTTCCTTTCTCGCTCATTCACACTTTCTCTCTCTCTCTCTCTCTCTCTCTCTCTCTCTCTCTCTCTCTCTCTTTCTCGCTCACTTAATTATACCATTCATCCCGCTACTGTCGGTCTCTTTCGCTCCTTTCTCTCGCTTTCTCTGTTTTCTTTTCCTCGCGAATCGACAAAATCGTCGGAACTAGCAGCTCGTTCGCTTTTCTTTTTTTTTTTGTTGTCCTCATTATTGCAATTGTTTGATCAACCGTTTCGTTCTCGTATATATACGCGCGTCCCGCTGCTGCATTCCGCGCTTCGTCGATTCGTGTTCCCGCGATTAACACATTTGACTAATTAAATGCGCCGCGCGCGTCACACGCGCACCGACCGCACCGTGCGAACCATCATCGCTAATTAATCACGACTATCGGCCCCCCCTCTCCCCGTTCCCCCCGCGCGCGCGCGCGCGCGATAGTCACGATAATAATTATATGATATAATAGTCTCGGTTTTTTTTTTTTTTTTTTATAATTACTCGCGCTCGTGTTTAACATTATATCTCCGCTTAGTTAAAATATCAATATACATTATAATATACTCTAGTAACGATAATGCAACGTCGTTTAATTTATTATACTTTGCAACTTAGAAAAATAGTCCTGGCTGTGCCGCGGCCGCGTCGCGTGCGCGATCGATTCTTTCAAAAAACGGTCGATTTTATTTTTCTCGTGCGTGTGAGAGAGTTACATTCGACACATATACATATATATTCATATATACTACATATTTATCTATACATATACATTTTTTTTTTTTTTTTTTATATTCTTCAATATTCCCGAGTGTCTTCCGCGATCGTCCTTAGATCCAGCTATGGGAAATACTCGAGAGGATTCTCTAATTGACTAAGATCCGTCGATCGAATTTTGTCTAGAGAACAAAATCGATCGCTCAATCGGAAACCTCTCTCAGGACGAGAGAGAACTTCCTCGAGAAGTTAACTATGATTTCTAATCCCTTGATCTATTTCGCATAGGCGATCGACGATCCGTTGTTTTACGCGCAGCTTTATTAAAAAAAAAAAAAAAAACTAATATAGTTTTCACATTATCGTTTCATTAAAACTCATCATGTAACAAATGGAAGTATCTTGCATAAATGTCAGAAAAATCAATGTAATTGTTTAGTGTGTTCCGAATGTGTTTAACATTATTATATAAAACACAAATCGCGCAAGACCATCGGTCTTAAATAATGAACGGACACTTCGAACACAAAATTTTACGATCAAAAAACAAAAATATTGACATGTAGCTGACATTAGCGCGTTAATTGATATTTGGGAAAAGGCGACGACTATATCCTTTTTTTTTTTTTGTGTGTGTTTGCTTCTCGATCGCGGATGACTCGACGCGGTCGCGATGCAATAAAATCTATGAAAACAATTAACGAAACAACGGTATTATTTACCCCTTTGAAGTTGTTTACGCTCTACTATATCTACTGTTGATTCTTCTTCTTTTTTTATTTATTTTTTTCTTTTAATTATAATCGGCCAACGAATCGCTCCCGTTCGTATATACCGTGTGTTGACTCACGCGTCGGCTCGGCGCAGTTTTTTTTTGTTTTGTTTTTTTTTTGTTTCCTATAAACGCTGACTTTTCGAGCGTCGCGCAATTCCTGACGACGCGAGTTCAGCGAAGCCCTACTACGTATATATATATACTATATATATACATATGTATATATATATATATATATACTATATATTTCTATCTCGCATCAATATATATTCGACGAAGCTCACTCAGGTTATAATAACAATTGAGAAAAAATCCTTCAAAAACACATTCGAGAAACGCGACGGCTCGATCTTCCCGAATTTTTTTTATATATTTATCAAGAATTTCGCGCCCTCGCGAAACGTAAATTCCAACAACCATCCAACGTAATCCAACGTAATCCAACCGTGGTTTTTTCGCAAACTTAACAATCGAAACATTCGGTACTAAATTTCGTCTAATTGAACGCTTGCGCTCTTTTTTTTTTTTTTTTTTTTCTTTAGAGAGTGCCGCACCACCCTGAACGTACGCAAGACTTTAATAAATAATCTCAATTGATTTTTTTTACGTCAAATCCGAGACGACATACAATATCGTTAACGCATTACAAAAAGAGCCTCTACGTTTTTATATTGCAAGAAAATTCTTTCGTTTTATTTGGTGTTAAAGTCACACTTGTGTCCGCACACTGCGTCCTTGCACTTTCTTAGGCTGCGTTCGGCCTTAACCGATATTTCTTCGCGCGATTAATTATTGCTCGAAAATACACATATAAAACTTGTTTTTCTTTCGAAAATTATTCACAACAAAGTAAATAAAAATGCGCCACTTTACAGCTACTTACAGAATTGTGAAATATTTTTTTCATGCGTTTAAAAAAATGACGTTCAAGTTATTTTATCATATATATTTTAATGTTACGTTTAACCGCCATCTCTTGGTCATCTTCCTACTGTTACAAGTGTTTTTTTTTCGCAATATTCAGGCAGAATCAAAAAATAAAATTTCACAGAACTCAACGTTAAGACCGAACGCAATTTACAATTGACACAATTTTGTATCTCGTTCCGACACACATTCCCACGCATTCGCACAACATGCAGTCGAGTTTTTTTTATATAATAAGTTTTTGTTTTTCTATTCTCTCTCTTTCTCTCTCTCTCTCTCTTTCTCTCTTATCGGTTCGCATAAGCGGCCAATAGTCGGACGTGAGACGCAGCGCGCGCGCGCGACGCATCCTCGCAATTACAACGCTAATATACCGACACGCTACTATATATTTTTTTTCGTTTACTCTTAATATACATCTACTTGCTTGATATAGCGATCAACGATAGTCGTTCGTTTTTTCTCTTCTACGAGTTTTCGTTCGCCCCACCCTTTCTCGCGTGTTTTTTTTTTTTTTTTTTTTAATATTTTTTTTAGCCGGTTTACCTCGTACGCGCATATGTCTTCACTCTCGCCTCTCTTTTGCCTTCACTTTCTTACTTTACCTCCTCCTCATCTTGCCCCCATTTTTTTGTTTTTTTTTTTTTTTTGTATACTTTTAAACGCTGTAGTTTCGAGTAAAAGATTGAAGTAAAATCATTTATAGAGATGCTGGCAATAATATTTAGCTAAATCGTGACGATAGTGTTTCCTCTCTCTTAATTACTGTGTAAATACTGATAGATTATACTCTTGTCCGGCCGGTTGTACCGTATCTCTGCAGTATCTCTGTGTCTTTTCATTCTTTTTTTCTCTCCTTGTCTTCTTGTTTGTATTCTTTCTGTTTTTTTTTTGTTTTTAATCATTTATATCCTCTCTCTCTCTCTTTCTTTCGTGTGGTTTTTTAAATATTTATTTATATATATATATTTATATTTATATTTATATTTTGTTCGCGCTTTGTTTTACCGTTGCATCTACGTCTGTCTTTTCACCTTTTTCTTCGTTTTCTTCTCTCGTGTTTCTTCTTCTTATCGTTTCTCTGTCTTTTCTCTCTCCGTTCTCACACACACACACATAAATTTTATATTTGTAGACTTAGAATTTTTTTCAATTCAC